CCAGTCCAACCTGATCAATTGGACATCCATGAAACACATCTTTCATGGTATTGTGGAATGTGTTCAAGAAGGTTGTATTATGGTTCAACATGGCATCATGAACATATGTGTTTACAGCATCTACGAAGAAACGACTATCATCATCTTCGTCTGTATCTGACTGCCCATGCATCAAAACTCTTTACAGTGGATATTTCTGAACAACTTTATTGTTATGTGTCTTGGTGTACGACAACAAACACTTATTCTAAAATTCTTCTATAGCTTTACTGATGACATCATTATTCTCATCAGGTAGGTCTTCATAAGGCACCATAAGGATGTCCTTGTTGTTGTGAGTTGCCATGACGATTGTGGGGTCCCATCGAGCGTGCCAAAACGTGTGTCGGTGCAAAAACATGTCGATGCGCCTCACACACAGCAAGCCAGAAGGATTAGCTCAGAGTAAGTCTGGAGATCCGCTTGGCTTCTACACAGGACCAACCGATCATGCGAATTTCTGAAGGCTTGCTAGTCAATTTGACCTGCAATTGACAGTCAATTTGACCTGCAATTGACAAGGAGAGAAAGTTTATCAGTAATTTAGGTTGAAACATTCCGATTTTACCCAGACAGTTCTAAGTGTACCGCTTCGGGAGCAGCCAGATGGGAAAATCGACTAAAACAGCCGATACGAGAAGGAATCAGTTGTTAAGGACTATAAAGCTCGCGGGTCAAGATTGGTTTTATAGTAACGAATACAAGGCACCTAGTTTTAATGATCCTTTCCTTTGAGCTATTAACATGTATGCGTCAAAGATACATCATTGGCTAAATTAGATTTGATCAATACGTGGTGTAGAGCCAATGAATCCGGTGAAAAGAGGTATGCCACGCAAACAATCGACTGTTTAATATAGACAGATCTACGAACCGTCTAGATCTAATCTAGTACCACCAACAGTGAGGTTCGACCGGATCGATGCAGCTATGATGATGATGATAGTCTAGAACCAGAAAATCCATAGAACCGATCATACTTCAACAGGTTCATGAAAGCGTGCCATATCTGTGAAAACACAGGCGAATCGGCTAAAATAGCCGATTCAGGAAGAAAAGGGATTACAGCATGTGAACAATCGACTATTCAATATGGACAGATCTATAAACTCATCAGACCTAATCTATATCCTTAACAGTGGGGTTTGACCAGATCGATGACAGTCATAATAAAGACAATAGATTAAACCTTTAAAGTAAACAGATCTATTCACATTTAACAGAATCATAAAGACACACCATAAGCGTTAAAGTACGGGCGATCGGCTATTTAGCCGATACAGGCATAGCAAACAGCCAAGGTCACGTATGGTCGAAGGCAAATCTACCAGCTGGCATACTCCTATTTAAAGTGCTAACAGTGGGGATTGACCGGATCGTTACAGCCATGATAGCGAGCTATAGACCAGATTCAACTAGCTAGTAAACCTACTTAGGATCAGACATGCCTTGACCACGTACTATACACGGTCAAGATCGAAGTAGAACAACCGATAAAACATAAGCCAACGTTTAAAGTAGGAACCATCGCAATATGATAAAATAAACGAGTGATTAAAATGATGTAAGGCCGATCTAGATCGATCTCGATCGGGCATGTTGATATTGTTGAAAACTAATGACAACAAGGACATCAGTAAGATCGGTAACTTAATGAATCTATCCGAAGGATGCCACCCTTAGGTAGAGTCCATAACTTGACCTTAATCTAATTCGAGCAGTGGAGGTCGAACTTAACCGATGCAGCCGTACTTGAAGTAGATAAGGATCGATAACTAACTTATACTAGAGCTCGTAAGAGGTCGGCCGGACCGATGCAGCGTTACAAACAGAAGTATAAGCCATTACGGTATTTACAGACAAGCCGGAGGTCGACCGGATTGATGCAGCCCTGTTGGTTGAAGAACTCGCCGAGATCTACAGTACTCCTATTCCTAAGAGTTGGCGTAAAGCCAAAAAAAAATAATTGATATTGATTGATTGCATATCTTTTTTACAATAGCCGGGGTCTAATATTTATATCCGGAACCTAAGCATGAATCGTACTAAAATACGACGCATTACGATTTTTGAAATAAAAAAAAATATTCCTAACTTAAGATAACTTAGACCCTAATTTTTCTTTTCGTAGAGTCCGACATATTTTTTCCAGACGCTAACCGTGGCTCATTGACGTTATCTGCTGATATTATCCGAAGAGAGCCGATCTCAGTACCACATTTGAATCAACTGATATCAATTCTTATACAATCGATTTCTTAATAATATAATATTGAAAGCTTCGAATTTCTACGTTCTTCTTTCTAAATTTTAATGTTAACACATCCCAAACCAGCAGCCGAAACCGATAGCAAGCAGGGAGTGGAGCAACGTGTAGCTTCTTTGAGCGTTCGGCACTTCTTCTTGCCTCGCCGAGAGTCCAGGTTTTATCGATCTCTGTTAAAAACACGCGTATTCTAATTCTGTTTATCTGTCCAGAAATGTCGGTTGCTGTATATAAATACTGAAAGCCTGGCCTTTTCGATCGTGGAACTACCCGCAGCAATATACTACAGGGATCCCTATCGTGACAGATTGAGACACGGATGGACTTGTCGCGTGCTTAATGGAGAGGTAGAGGTTGCTATTGATGCTCCAGTAGTGCATTATATCTGGCGACTGCAACATTTACTTACCTGCATGTCGATCTATCATATCCGACAGGTGATCCCATCAGTACGGGCTGGGTACACCCCGATCCCATCGAATATTTGATAAATATATAAGTATTAAATATAGGCTAAAGTAATAACTAATTATATAATTTACGAGACGAATCTTTTAAGCCTAATTAGTATATGATTTGACAATATAATGCTACGGTAACATATGTGTTAATAACGGATTAATTAGGCTTAATAAATTTATCTCTAATTAGCTCATGATTTGTATACATGTGCTAATAACGAATTAATTAGATTTAATAAATTCATCTCGGGATTACTGATGGAATTTTTTTTATTAGTATTCGAACACCCCATACGACACCGAAACTTTAAAGTAGAGTGGTATACACTGATACTGACCATGTATCAATGCACGAAAAGGACCGCCGATGGACAGACCAAATTAAGGGGTTGTTTGGTTATTTAGTCGCTCCTAAAATTTATGTCACATCGAATGTTTAGATGAGCATTAAATATAGAGTAATGACAAATCCAATTACATAGACAGAGGCTAATTTGCGAGACGAAATTTTTAGACCTAATTAATCCGGCATTAGCACATTTACTGTAGCACCACGTCAAATCGTGGACTAATTAGACTTAAAAGATTCGTCTCACAAATTAGTCGTAAGTTGTGCAATTAGTTTCGTAATTAGTCTATATTTAATACTCCATGTATATGCCAAATATTCGATGTGACAGAAATTTTAGGAGGTCCTGCAGGAACAAAACAGGCCCTGAGACTGTCTCCAGCAGGCAACCCATCACGCGACCTATACCAAAAATGCATGGTGAACAGTAAAACCCCCCTCTCCAATAGAGTAGGCAATCAGACTGCATTTTGCGTGGGAGGAGAGAGGAAAGGCAAACAAGCGTCCTCCCGATGCACGACCCAAATCTCTGCCGCGGAGGGCACGGCCGTGGGGCGCAGAGACGAGGAGACGACGGGCGGGCTGGGTGGCGTGCTGAGGTGCACCGGCGTGCGTGGCGGACCCCCGAGCCAGGCCGGGCGGGCGTGCCCATGGCAAATGAAGGCGTGGTCATCTGTGCCAAGAGAGAAAAGGAGAGAGAGAGAAAGGGAGAGGAGAGAGAGAAGGCAAGGTGGAGGGGGAAAGAGAGGGAGAGCGAGCCGGGGCGCAGGGCGGCGGTGGCCGCCGGCGAAGTGGGGCTCCAGCGCCACTGCACCCATCCTCCTCTTCCAGGCACCCCCATCGAGGTGGAGCGGGCCAGTGTCGGCGCGGACCGGAGCAGCCGAGGTGGAGCGGCCCGACGCCGAGCGGCGAATCCCGAGCGGGTGTCGCCCTCTTCCTTCTTCCCTGTCTACCGTCCCGTCCAGATCCACGTGCAACAAAGGTCGTCGCCCAGCTCGAGATCCCAGGCTGCCCTCAGGCGGCCTGTGCCGGCAAGGAGGCGATCACAGGGCTTCCTCCGCGGTACCCTCGCCACCGCCCACCACCTCTGAGATCGCATCGTCTCCGCCGCCATCCCCTCCCCCGCTGATCGCCTCCAACACCGGCGCTCAACCTCTTCTCCACCGTACCGACCCCTCCCTCCAGCGGTAGACGGGGAGAGGGAAGGAGCGGGCTTGGACTGTGGCAGCGTGGGCAGGGAGAGGGAGGCAGGAAGAGTGGAGGAGGAAAGGGAGAGAAGGAGAGGGAGGGCAGCAGCGGCGGATTCGAGCTCCGGCGGTCGCTCGGATGGCGGCGCCGACGGAGGAAGATAAGATTTGAGTTCGCTATTGGAGAAGATAAAATTTGGGTGCGTGACCTTCCTGTCGTACGTGACCCAAACCACGGAATGGGTGTTGTGTTTGGGTATGTGTTGTTGGAGATAGGCTAAGTCATTTAATTATCGATCTGTGCAGGATAATTCCCACGAGTAATAACAATCACATCACAGTAAATGGAACAAGCGAAAAAACACGTATTGACTTTTTTTTTATGGAATATACAATACAGACATGAACACGAACAGTACACTACTACATACACGTACGAACAGGGTGGTGAAGGGCGAGGACGTTACAAAACAGGCAGAAGAATTTTACCACCACCAGCTACTGCATTACAATTCGCCAAATCCTTATTTATTTTCCACACGGACGGACGGTCCCCCAACCCATCCCCAAGGTTCGATGCCCTTCGTCTTGCTTGATCCGGTGACGAGATCGATCGCCGTAGCAGTAGCACACCACGCACCATCGTTGGAGGAGCCTGTTGGACGGACGACGACGACGAACGGAGCCGCGAACACCGGCTACTGCATGGAGCACTCGGCGGGGAGGCCCTGCGGGTAGCGCTTGGGGTCGGTGCAGTAGTTGTAGATCATGTACTTGCGCTGCACCCACCGCATCCGCTGCTGCAGCGTGAGGTCCAGCTCCTGGTTGTACCAGTCCCCGGCGGCCGCGCCGGCGGCTCCGGCCGCCGCGCCCTCGGTGCCGACGGCGGCGGCGCCGCAGCGCGTCTTGCCGCCCGCGACGGCGACGCAGGCGTCGGCCCTGAATCCCCGGTAGGAGGAGGAGAACGGGGCGTGGGACCAGTCCGTCTTGACGCGGCCGCCCTGCGTGGCCCAGTCGTCGGCGTTCCACAGGCTGGAGTAGAGCCGCATCGGCTGGTTCTTGGGGAACGCCACCCCCTTGCTCTCCAGGTTCTGGAAGTCCCTGATCGGCATGTCGTCCACCATGAAGCTGCACGCACGCATGGCAATATGGCATGATCGGGGTCAATGTCAATCGACAGCTCGAGACACTGATCAAAATCAAATCAAAATGCAGACACTCTTACATGATGTGTTTGGGGTTCCAGAGGATGGAGTAGGTATGGAAGTCGTTGGTGGGGTCGAACCAGAGGCGGAACTGCTGCTCCCTCTGCCCCTGGCCCTGGGTGAACACGTTGGTGTGCAGCGTGTACGGCTCGCCGGAGACGTTGCCGAGGAACTCGAAGTCGATCTCGTCGTGCGTGCTGCCCTGCGACGACAGGTAGTAGGCGGTGACGGTGCCCGCGGAGTTCCCCGGCACCAGCTTCAGCTGCATGTCGATCTTGCCGAACAGGTACTCGTGCCTGGACTGGAACCCGGACCCGGAGGTCCGGTCCAGCGTGAGAGTCAGGAGCTGGCCATTGTCCAGGATGTTCCCCCGCCCGTCGCCCCACGTGATGTCGAACTCCTGGTTGAAGTTGGCCGCCGACACGGCGAAGGCGGCGGAGTAGGCTAGCAGTACGCCCAGCAGCAAGGACACACGACGAGACGCCATGACCGGTCACTCGAGACCTCCTCACTCAGCTATAGCCTTACCAGCTACGCAAGCAGAGACAGGACACTACACTAATCACTAGCTAGAACTAGGATCAAGCAGGTTGCGAGGTGCTCGATCGGATCAGCTGGAGCGAGATGATCGAGCTTGTGCTTTGTGAGCGGAGGAGGCGAGGGGGTTTTTATAGGGAGAGGGGTGCTGTTGACTGATTTAGTGTGATTGGCTGAAAAAGTATCACTTACAAGCGAAGCGAAGAATGGGAATGGCGTGCCGCGCGGATGGTGCCGGGAAGCAGTGTATGTACTGCGCCTGCCCGGCTGCCCAGCCGTGTGATCTGGTGTGTGTGAGGTTATGCGTGTGAGTTGGCGCCAGCCATGCAGAGTAGTCAGGAGTCCGGAGATGGGAGGAGGGAGACAGGGCAGGGGCGCGCAGTACGCACGCTGCGGCGGGGCAGAGAGCGGCTTGATGAGGGGCAGCCGGCAGGGCCGCAGGGGAGGAGGCCACGGCGACTCAGCGACGGCACGCGCACAGAGCCTAGATATTTCCTGGAAGTCGACCGGGACGTGCAGCGAATTCGGGCTGTGTTCGTTTGGGTGAGAAGACATAGCTGAAAATAGTTGGCTGATTTATTATAAGCGAAAAATATTACTCATTAACTAAAACTTATAAGCAAAACGAACAGGCATCCTTCATGGTGCACCGGCCCGTTTGTTCGCGCCACCTGGGCTCTCACCTCACAGGATGTCTCTGGCTATACCTGCAAATGATGCGGTGCGGTGCGCACCACGTCACGACCCTCCGCTCCATTTACGATTAAAAAAGGTTCATGGGTCGAACCGCCCCTTTTGCACAGGGAGTCACTATGACCCGCGGATAGCCGATGTTCGAACCTCATGTGCTGGCGTTGCTAACGTGCTGGCGCTGCTAAGTACTGTACGTCTACAACTTCTTCTCGTATTGTGGCCATTTAAGGACCAAATTACATAATACGTTTTTTGAATGAAAAAATCACACAATACTTTACAGCAAGTCAAATAAGCTTACAGCTAAATAATTGATAAACCAAATTGCCTAGAATATAGAGTAGCTAACCAAAAGCGATTAAAATTCAGAAATGCTATAGAACGCACATGTGTTATAGAAAAAAAAACACATGGAGTTTTTCTGTGTATCTCTCCCTCTCTCTTTCCCACCGGTGACCACCGGCGCCGGCGACGGCGACCGGTGAGCTCGCCCCGGCGCCCGCGCCCGAGCCCACACCGGCCATGGCAGTGGTGGTGGCGCCAGCGGCGGATCTGTGATTTATCCTTCCATAGAAAAAAAAACTGTGATCCGTGATTTGTGGAGGCTGGAGGTAGAAGAAAGGTGGAGGCTGTTGGATCTTAATCCTATGGTGTAAAAAAAAATTCATGTATTGAAACTGCATAAAACACATACTTGTGTAGTAGAAAGACTCTTAAAATTCCGATTTGGTTATTGCATTACACCAACTGGATCAGTACCTTAGAGACAACTCCAGTTCAGTACCTTATATACCGACAAGAGCTATATAGATTTTACAGTCAGGCCAATTGCTTCCAGCTTGCCACCGGTACAGCCGTACAGGTACCGTTCTCCAGGTTCAATGCTGATTAACTACTTCAGAAAAATACTAATAAAACCCAAACTACCTAGCTCATAAAAACAACAATTTGCAACCTAGAAAATCACTCTGAACCCGTAACACCTGCAAATAACATCATAAAAATGCCTTTTAGTTCCAACACCTAAACTGGGATCACAGTGAGAAAAAATCCAGCATCACAACCAGATTATTAGATATGTGGCTCCTGGCTCTTAAATCCTAGACAGAAGTTCTGGAACTCCACTCTTTGAACAAAATTACACGTTTATGGTTCTTCCTTGTACAAAATTAAGTTTCAGGCAACTGGCAGTTGGTTTAATAAGCATCAGTTTACATATTGCAGACATGCTCAGTTCCCAGGTGCATGACTCAAGAGATAAACATGTATGCAAAAGATACACATTTCTTAACAAATGTATGCAAAAGAATACACATTCCTTGCTATCTCACAATTCTTAACAAATGTATGCAAAAGAATACACATTTCTTAACAAAAGAATACAATGATTGTCACATAACTAACATGAAAGTAACCCAATTAGATGCTGGGCTAAGGGCTAACTCCTTATCTTCAGTTTTCAGTCCAGAATTCAGATTCACAAAAGGAAAATCATCCATGAAAAAAGAATGAGAAGCTAGTTGTGCTACCCACTACCCACACTTGTTACGCTGTACACATTTGCATTGAATTCAGTGACTGAATATTTCAAGAGTGACTAACTAACTATGAAAAGAAGAGTTGCCATGAAGGAGAAACGTGCACCAAAGCATTCAGTGCAGAAACAGTCTTAATGCCATAGATGAGGCATGACCGCTAACAGATTATTTTCTTACATTTTCCTATAAAAATCACTTGTTGAGTGGCACACTATAGGCTACCAAGCAATTGATAAACGATTGACACACAGTTTCTTCTATTTGTGTAGTCGTCAAGGATATATCTACGTTTCACGTTCTTGAACCCCTCGGTGCTTATGCAAGCACTCACCAATACAATGTTCTCAAGCTGAAGACGAGTTCAGGTGTTCAGAAGATCGACAGATACTAGACTCACGTAGGCAACAACTAGTGTCTCCCATCCAAGATTTAGAAGAAATCTTTTTCACATGAAGGTGTCCAATAGCAAATCACATACTCTTACTACTCCCATCTAAGATTCCAATCACGGAGAGGAAGGAGCCAAGCGGCGTGTACTGCGGGGGGACTCGACGGGAAGGGAGGAGTGGCGGCAGAGGGGGATCTCGACGGCGATGGCGACAGCGACAGGGAGGTTCAAGCCACGGGCGCACCATGGGAGTAATGAGCGGCGCCTGCTGGGCTGGGCCTAGGAGGGGGAGGAGGAGCACATGAGGCTGCCTCAACTCATGGCGGCGGAGGCCAAGGAGCCCCAGCGATGGGAGGGCCGAAGGGGTGATGGCGTTATGGAGGAGCCAGCATGGCGGCGGGGGGTCTCAGAGGGTCGAGATGGCGACTAGAGGGGGTGAATAGTCGTTTCTAAAACTTAATCGTGTCGTACCAACTTGAAACAAGTGCGGAATTAAAACTATCGGTCTAGCCAAGACTACACACATCTATCTATGTTCTTTAGCACCTTGCAAAGATCCTAAATAAGCAACAAAGGCGCCTGGCTAGCTAGAGCTCACCTAATCAATTTTAGAAGCAATGTCACACAAACCTATGCCACTAGTGTGCAAAGTACACTCCATAATTAAATGGCCTTATACTATTTGCTTGTCATGCTTCTAGATCATCTCAAAAACCAAACTTAGGTGCCTCAATTACTTATAAACATGTTTCCAACTTGAGGACCTTTCATTCAAAGTGACTCTAAATCAATCCAACATTTGTCACTTTTCTGACATATTTTGTACTCTTCAAAGAAAAATGCATATCTCCCAAAGTACAAATCTAAATACCACGAAATTTGGTGGAGGTGTGCATCACTAAGTTATATAGCTGTTGTAAAAATTTGAGCTTCATTTGACTTCTAGATTGCTACCAGATTTCAATTCTTCCACCACTGCTATATGCTAAAGACTGCTACATTATAGCTGACAAGATCCACTCCAAAACCGAAGCATTTCTTATCCAATTTTCATGAAATATCTACAGCATCTCATAACATAAGTCTAGAGCATGTACACTAATTTTCATGCCAATCCAATAAGTTTTGATCACTCAAACATGGCTAAGATCACAGCTCACTCAGATTTTCAATATAGGACAGATTTCAATCACTTGAACTATACTTCATCAAATATGAATCAAACTTGAAACTAACTCGTTTGAATACTTTCACAAGATATAAATCCATTCAATCCACTTACTAAATGTCATCTTATGAACTTATCCAACACAAATCAATCCAAACTTGATTACTAATCAATTATCCATTCAATCATCTCATAGCAAGCAGCATTGCATATTTATCCAATTCAATCAACTCATATGCACCCAAATGAAATGATCAATAAGAGATATACCTTGGCTAGCTCATGATCATCCAACTAGCAAGCTTCACCTCAATTATTTGCAAGTTATCAAATATATCCAATGAATCACCAACAACTTGAATTATAGCACTTGTATGTTGATAGCACTTGGACTTCACTCAATTTTCACTTGGCATTGGGTTTAGATGTGCACTAAGCTTCATAACTTGATTCAACATATGACGAACAATGTGAGGTCAATTGAATCAAATATCCAATGCCGATGGTACCTAGGGGACATGAATGTGCCATGTGTCCCCTTTTTCGGCATGAGCAACACTTTCTCTTTAATTGAGCCTTCTCTTCCTTTGGTGCTTCTCATTGCCTTGCCTCTCATGGATTGCTTGAGCCTTCTTCTCAAGCTTGGTAGGACACTCAGACGCAAAATGTCTCGTACTTCCACACTTCAAGCACTTGATGTGAGCATAATATTTCTTCTCATCTTTATTCTTGCTCATCATCTTGTCATCTTGAGTTTGCATTGGATGCCTTGCCTTTCCACCCCTTCTTATTTTCTTCTTCTTTATCATCAAATCACCACCATCTTCATGGTTGATCTTGATTTGCTTTTGGTGTGTCTTCTCTTGCTCAACTTGTGGCTTTGGTTAAGGCTCTTCTAGTTGCTTCACCAATTGCTTGGTTGGGCACAATGAGGTAAGGTGACCCCAAGTGCGGCACTTGAAGCACTTCACATGCTTGAGCCTCTCTTCTTCTTTTATCTTCCTAAGCTTCTCAATATTAGGGCAACCATTTGCAAGGTGTCTCGCTTCATGACACCGATAGCACATGGTATGGGAGAGCTTTATTTGTTGTAGCTTCTTCATCTTTCTTTCTCTCTCTCTTTATTTCACCCTTTGTCATCTTCTTCTTGAAGTCAAGACCAC